TATCTTCTTACTATATCTTTAAAACTGCAAATGCGCCGTAATGTTTTTTTCAAAGAAAATACGGTTTACAAGTAAAGTTTGAGCACAACTAGTGCTCGGCGGATCAACCCGAATATATATCATTAAGAATATATTCGTATTACTAACTTCAGTACACTTATCGTTATGTTGTGTATCAATAAATAATAAATACTGTATATACTGTATATATATATATATGTATATTTACTTATATATATTATTATATATCTGATATATATATAGTATATATATAGGTTATATACAGTGATGTAAATTAAATATATGCAGTAGGCACAGCATACATAAATTTAAATTTGCATATAAATTTTTATACGTATACTTTACTATCACTCTTCAATATTTAATTACAATGATTGATAATAATATTTTTACTAATCGTCCACGTCCTAAAGATGGACAACAAGTAAAGATTGTTATCTTCCCTAATAATAATAGAAATAAACATATTGTTGTAAATGATTTAGACAGAAACAAAACATTAGAGGACACGCGCAAATATTTAGTGAAAATCGAAAATAAATTTGTAGGTTGGCAAAATACTATTTTTCGTAACGCTTATCGAAAGATTCCTAAAAGTTGTGAGGATAATTATAAAGTCGAAGATATTCTCGTTCCAGATGAAGATTTTTATTGTTTACAAGTGGAAATAGATGAAAAAATCCCTTGCGTTCCGGAGCTTTTTCGTAACCTTAAAATTGACAGGGGATATAAAAAAAATAATGATGGCTCTATAATCAAAGCAAAAAAGTTAGCATTCTCCATAAACAATTTGCTCAAAAATTTTATTATTAGGAATAAGCTTGAAACTATTGTTAAGGACACGAACCAAAATTGTAAACAATTCTGGTTAGAAAGTTTTCAAAATGATCGTATAAATAAAGGTGATAAACTGATTGAAAGTTGTAATGAGGAAAAGATAGAATTAAATAAGTATACTATTAGATATTGTCAAAAAGGTACAATTCAATTATCTTTTAAAGATGTGGAAGCGACAGAAGAATATATTAAGGCTATTAAAGATGCATTAGATCCAAAATATAATGACGATAAAAAAAGAGAGAATTTAAAAGATGTTGGTGATGATTACGGATTTTTTACGTGTGTATTTTTTATTTAGAATAAAGGTTTAAATTATTTTCTTTAATAAATTATAACTATAAAATCAATAACTATAATCAATAACTGTCCAATAGGTGGCAAGAATTTGAACTTGGTGGTAAATTTTTGGATATGGCACAAAATCAATCAAAAGATGAACCATATATAGTTGGAGGAAATCATGATATGTATGGTAATCCATCTAATTGGATAGGTTCCTTAGAATCTTATAAAACATGGGAAGTCATTGGATATAAAGATAAATTTTCACTTTATGAATTATTATCAGAAGATT